GGGGCCCCGGGGGCCCGCCCCCCCCCCCCCCAAACCACCCAGGCACACACCCATAACAGCTGGGCAGAACCCCTGGCAGGCAGCTGCCTCCTCCTCGCTCCCTTTACACCCAGCCTGGGGATGGGGAGCACCTGGGTTCCAGCCCGGCTCTGCCACTGCCTGCTTCTGTGGCCTCAGTCAAGTCACCTCACAACACCTAGAGCAGTAGATAGGCTCCCTGTGCACAAAGATGCCCAGGCGGGTCTAGTGTGGAAGTGGGGCCTGACACTGGTGTTGGCATCACCACACCATGACCACCCCCCACTCAGCTGGGCCGGGCCATGTGTGTGCATGTTCAAGTGTGAGACGACAGCCCACTGCTGCTGATGGGAGCCAGTCAGTGCGTTTCATGTGCCCCGTATTGCTAAGTGTCACTGGAGAGTCTCCTCTTGGTCAAGCTGGCGTGGGAGGGGGCTGGCCCTGCTGTGATGAAGGGGGCGTCCTGGGGCTGCTTCCCGCTCCCCTAGGCTCGGCCCCTGGGAGCTGCCGGTCACCCTTCCCTCGCAAAGCAGCACGTGCGTGGGCCACCACTGGCATATCCGAGCCCGTGGGCACATCTAGGACCTGTCGCCTGGATCTAGGGGGAAGCCCAAACTCACACCCACCCATCTCCTGCTCCCCTTGCAGGGGCATGGGGGGGGGGGGTCGATGCATGGCAGGGCTCAGACTGCACATCCCCCTCCACCTGGCTCACAGCAACACCCAGCCCAGCCTGGGGCTGCGTCTCCTGGGTGCTGGAGCTCAGAGTCCCGCCACAGATTCATCCCCAGGCGCTGCAGCCTCCAGCCAGTGCGAAACCAGCCGCTTCGGCCTCCGGTAGGCAGGCAGCGCAAGAGACAGCAGCAAGGAGTGTTGCTGGGCTCCCAGACACCAGCCGCCTTGGGGTGATGGTGCTCAGGCCCAGCCGTGCCACGGAGAATGGTTTCCCTGACCCCCGGGTGCTCCCACTGCAATAGTGCCCGTGGTAGACGGGGTGGGAGAAGTGGGATCTTCTTCCCCTGCTCCCTGGGAGGACACTGCTGCTCTCCAGGGCCCGGCTGCAAGGCCTGTATGATCCCATGCCCAGAGCCCACCCAGCGCCGGGGGCTAGGGCCCTGTGTGGAGAAGGGAGGCAGAGACGGGAGGATTTATACTGGTTTAATTAATGTCAAATGTAGTTTACAAACGGGAATGACAAGTACCTTTTTATAGAATATACATTGACACACAATCATGGACACGACTGGAATATCACCGTGTGCAATTGGGATTCTTTGGGCAAAGATCGTCGACTCCGTACGTCTTTTTATTATTTCCTTTTTCCTTAAAACTCCCTGCGGAAGAGGCGGAAGTGATGCCGTGCTACAGGCCGCGGCTGGCTCCAGAGCAGGCCCAGACAAGACTCTCCCCCCACCCTGGTTCCCATACACCCCCCCACCCGCGCCGTGACGAAACAGGGATGGCTTTACATGAAAAGAAAGGAACGGTACTGGTTACATATGGTTTTACAGCTACGTACATACAGCACACTGCTGGTCCACAACACACCGGGGGGAGAAGCTGGCCTGGGCATTGGGAGCCCGCTCTGTCCCCCGCCCCCAACATGGATCACCGCGTGGCCCTCGAACTCACTTCCCAGGGCAAGGCCACACTGCACAGCCTGCCCATGCCAGCCCCGAAGCAAAGCCCTGATGTTCCCTCACTGCGATGTTTCCTCCCCGGCTGCTTCTACAACCCTCGTGCTAAAGGCACAGAGGGGTCTGAGCGCTGCCTCCACGGAGGCGAGGAGGACGCCCAGCAGCTAGATCCAGCTGCCGTGCTGGAGCCCCCCAGATGCTGAGTCCAGTGACCGTCTGCCTGTGCGTGACAGCAGCTCTGGGTGTTTTCACACATCCAGCAGCCAGATCCTGGCACCCCCAGGAGAGGCCTTTGAATCAGCTCGAGCTGCTGACCCTGGTGCCTCGCCACGGCTTGGTTGGTGGCCTGCTCCAGCCACCTTTATACACCAGCCCACAGCAGGTCTTTGTGTGGCCGCTTCACACCTGGGCTCAGCCTGGGGAGGAAAAGCTAGAAGACCCCAAAGGCGCAGCCCACAGTGAGGTCTCAGCCGTTGGCTTAGCGGTGCCCGCCCAGTCTTGCAAAACTAGCTGGGCCGAGCAGCGCAGCTCTGCTCCTGGGGGGCACAGATGGCCCTGTGAGCCAGGAGGGAGCAGGTGAGTCAACGGCGCCTCTGGCCCGCGGTGGTTTTGGAAGGCCATGGAGCACCGGGCTGCGGAGGTGTGCAAAGGGAAAGCCCCGGGTGCAGCACAAGTCAGGGCGGTTCCTAGCGTCTCCCTGATGGGACACTGTGCAGGACGAGACCGGCGTAGAGCCAGCACATCCCCAATGGGAGACGGGAAGCACCTGGCCCCGGGGCCTTTTCCAGCTGGCAGGGATGGCACAAAAGGCCGCGGGACCCTCTGCCGCAGGCGGGCACGGGCGGCTTCGTGCAGCAGACAGCGAGTCCGTCGACGGGGGCACAAACTGAGTCAGCAGTGGCGGTGCTGGGAGGGGAGCCCGGGCTCGGAGCGGGCCATGGGGCAGGCTGGGACCAGCTGAGTTCGTTGCTGTCTCTGGTGGGAAAGGCCACAGGCCCGGGAGCCAGGCCCCCTCCGTCTCCCCTGCTGAGAAATGACCACGGTTGTCCTTCCGGGGGGGGAAAGGATCCTAGTATAAATAGCCCCATTAGCTACGACTAATGACAAAAAACCCATCTCCTCTACTCCCCATAAGTCCTGTAAGTTATGGGTGATGCTACAGCCATTACTAAGAGCTGTTAACTTCATATCTGAATGAGGAAATATACACCACAGAACATTAAACCATTTATATTATATATATGTATATATATTCTTTTTTTTTTTTAAACTAATGACTTTAATGCCAAAACTTTGCAGAACCAAGAAAAATATGGGTTTAATGTTCTCTGCTCTTTTTTTCTTTCTCTTTTTCTTCTTTAAAAAAAATACAACCAAAAAAAGGCGGAAGGGAAACTTATTAGTATGTAATGTTTGAGTCTATCCCATTTATACACAACATTGTAAACATATATCGTCTATATTACATGTGCTTCATTTCTGCCTGTGTGTGGGGGGAGGTGGGGTTTAGGGTTTTTTTTTTCTTTTTTAAACCTTTTTTTAAGTCACTAGAACACCACGAAAGAAAAAAACCAAACAGAAAACAGAACGGAACGAAAAAACCAAACAAAACTCAGAAAACAACCAAAAAAAAACTGAACCAAGAGCACAAGTTACAGGTTCTGGCTCCGTGTCTCGCCGAGGGTCCCTTGTTCTGAAGGGGTCGCGCACCCCTCCGATGCTCATCCAGCGCCGGGGAGACGGGGTGGGGGTACTGGTTTAAAAAGGGGGCGTCACAGCCAAAGGTTTGGGGTTTGCCCACTGGAGTCGCTGAAGGAGGTCCCACGGCCAGGCCCGGTCCGTGGCATCCCAGCTGCTCCCGCAGCCTCCCGGCCGCGGTCAGAGTCTATTGGGTTCTGTTAAAAACGTCTCTTACTGTCGCGGTCGTCGTTCTCCCGCCGCGGCGCTGGAGCCGGGCTGGGCCGAGCCGCCCGGTCCCGCCCTCCGGCTGCCTTCTTCATAAGTAGATGCGCCGCAGGTCGCCCGGGGACGTGATGGTGTTGCACTGAGGGCAGAGCTTCTTGGCACCCTGCAGGGGACAGAGACAGAGGGGCGTCACGAGGGGTAGATCTGCCTCTCAGGCCGTGCCTGCCCCCTGCCCTGCCCAGCTCCGGGGGCTAGAGCAAGGATCTGCCCTCCCCAGGGCAGCTGTTTCCCTCTTATGGCCAGGCTGCAGGCGGGATGATAGAGCTGGTACCGCCAGATCTGGGTCCCGGCAGCTCCACTGCCCCGAGCTATTGCGCCAGCCAGGCCTGAGCTGAATGGCACGAGATGGGAGCTGGGCACGTTGGAGCTACGGCCTCCCCCCAACTCAGGGCTGCTGGATCTGCACTGCCTGCAGCACCTGCCTGGCCCTGGGGAAGGAGGAGCCAGCACAGCAGCTCAGACGATACAGCCTGATGCTGAGGGTACGGGGGCTGCTCTTTGTGGCCCTTGACCCTGTTGACAGCAGATGGAGAAACCCGCGGGTGCCGTTGGCTGCATCCCAGTCCCTCCAGTTCCACCCCCGTGCAGACAGGCCAATGCAGCTCCCAATTAGGAGCCCTGGCAGCTGGGCATGCCGCTGTGCGCCTCCAGTACGGTGGGAGATCCCAGCCCCTGGGGTGCACAGCAGAGTCCGGGTCCTAGGAAAGGAGGTGGAAGAAAGCCTGACGGGGAGAGGGCGTTCATCAGCCCCAGACCTGCGGTCATCACTGGATGGGCACTGATGAGAGAAAGGACAGGCAGAGCTCTGCAGCCGGGCACCACCAAATCTAGTGTTGCAGACCTATGCCCACGTGCAGGTCGCCCCTCCATCCGCACACCCATCACCGTGGAGACCAGCTTGGGGGCTGCACGGGGCTGTGCCCCCTTAGCAAGCTGCAGGGGCCTGTTGCTAACACCTGCAGCTGCAGGAGATGCGGCTTGGGGGACTTTGGGCAGCTAGACTTGGGAGCAGGGCAGGGCTCCCATCCTGCTACACTGCTCCAAGACCCCCGTGGAGAAGTGCCAGCTGAAGAGCTGCAGATGCTCAGCACCTCCTATGCCAGGCCCACAACGTCTGCAGGAGACGTTGCCCTGCCCGGGGGGGGGACAGAAATGCTGTGAGGCTCGGCAATGGAGCTGGTCCCGACTGGGACTGCCTGGTGCTGCTACCAGGGGAGGGTCAGACCTGGGAAGCAGTGGGATGGCCACATCTACCATCCACCCCAGGCATCTCCTTGCTCAGAGCAAAGCTCTGGACTCTGCAGCCCAGGAGAGGTCCTTTCCCCTTTCCAGAAAGCAGGAGCAGGAGCTGATGTACGTCCCTGGAAATGCATAAACCAGTGGTCCTCAATCTTTTTAGCCTGCAAAGACTCCAGGCCCCCCGGGGAAACTCAAGGCCCCTGCGGAAAATACCAGCCCTTGAGTTTTCACTCATTTTTTGAGCACACAGCAGTTGCAGCAAACATGAAACAACCACAACCGTCAATCGTTGTGTGCAACCTCTGGGTTCACCGTGCGAATCCCGCCTCTATGCCGGCTGGTGCTAACCCTGCGTGGCTCCCTGTGGCGCCCCAGGCACTGGCTGAGACTCGCTGCCTTAAACCCAGTCTCTGCAACTTGGGATGCAGGCACCATGCCCGCTGTTTCAATCCCTTGTCATCCCACATATCCTGTGGCTCCGCAAGGGCTCTGCCCTCAGGGGCCTTCCCAGAAGCGAGAGGTGGTATGGGGCCCCAAAGTTTGCATCTGCCCTGAACAATCACGTCACGCTGGGCAGCGGCTGCAAAAGGCAGCACCCACAGGGGGTCTGAGGCATTCCAGATGTGGTGGCTATGGCACATCTGTTTTTGTGTTTTCCATCCAGCGGAGACGGGGCCAAGCTTGTAAGGCCGGAGGCAGGGGGACGCCCAGTCCACTTCACCTGTCAGGATGGTGTGCGGGGTTGGCTGGGTGCTCCCCTGCATCTCTGAGCACGGAAGGCCGTCTCCTTGTCTTTGACAAAAAACCCAGCCCTCCAGAGCACGGGCAAGGAGAGGGAGCCGACCATGAGGCCACGCAGGCCCCAGCGCAGGGCTGTGTCCAAGCCAACAGAGAAACACCTGCGTGTCAGGCTTCCAGGAAAGGGGATCAGGAGCTGGGGGCCGGTGGGGGAGGGAAAAGGCAGTGCTTTCCAGCCTGTGCACCTTGTGCAATGGGGCTGGGCCGGTCCTCCTCCCCCGCCCCTGCACACACCACCTGCTTCGCATGCAGCCCCAGAGCCGGGCGAGGGAGGAGGATGCAGCTTGGCGCTGGCGGCAAAGGCGCCTGCCCCAGGAGAACGGCACTGCTTACCGCTCCGACAGCCGCGCGCTCGAATACAGCTGGTGGAGAGCACGCAGAGCCCTTGACCACAGGGATGGCCGCCCCTGGGGGATCCCAGCTCCAAAAGGGCCTGCATGTGCCACTTCCCCCCGGCTGGGATCTGGTGAGAATGCCCTTCTTGCGCCAGGTCCCGAGCTGGGGGACAGCCTAGTCCTGCACATGCCAGGACTTCAGGCAGATAAATGGCCTCTTCTGGTATGTCCCCATGTCACCTAACCTGGCTCTCATCAAAGTAGCCTGAAGCCGACGAGCAGCACTGGTGAAGCTCCAACGCCTGAGGCAGAAGAGGTCCAGCCGAAGCCTGCCCGTTTCCTCTCAGCGTTCGCACGAAGCCTCCAGGCTCTCCCGTGCCCTGCGTTCGGCAGTGTCCTTGCCCACCAGTGCATGGTGGGGGCTGCGTCTCCACACGGTCCAGCTGCTGGGCCTATGGGAAGAAACGCCCGGCTGTGCTTCGTGCCTGGATGTGGGCTTTTTTACAGCAGCGGTGGGTGGCACATCACCTGTGCCCAGGGCAGGGCGATGTGCCTGTGGCTGCTGTCTGCAGCACGATGCTCAAGCCCAGAGGTCCTGTAGGCGGGCTGCCTGTGTGTACGGCTCCGTGCCCTCTTGGGCATTAAATAGTGCAGGTGAAAATGACCCTCAAGAGTTCTTCCTGCTGGCCGGCATCCTCTCCCCACCCCACGCATGCTGGGGTCAGAGCCCTGACTTCTAAGCACTGGGTTTTTTGTGAAAGACTAAAAAAAAAATCTCCCCCTTACGACTCTGCTCCTTGCTCCTGCCCCTTTTTCAGTGGTGTGCTGTATTTGTTACAAGAGGCAATTAAAGCCATCCTCTCTTGTGTGCTGGCACCGGGAGCAGGGAAGGTATGTGCTCCCCACACCTCCCCAGCTCACCTGCCAGCTGGACTTACTAAAAACTTTCCCCTTGAAATAAAAATGTGGCACCGTAACAAGTCACACCTGTCGGACGTTTCTTTTTTTCTTTCCTCCAGGTCCTTTTGCTCTTTTCATCCCTTCTCGGTAGAAAAGCCTTGATGTGCAAGAGCTGTGTGGGCCACAGGAGCACCCACCTCAGCTTTTCCATTACAAACCCCAGTTTTCAGGGGTCTGTAAAAAAACAAAAAACCACCCGCTGCAGGAAGTTTGCTCCAGGGCTGAAACACAGCCAAGAAAAGGGGCCAGGACCGCAATGGAGTCCATTTCCCCCACCCTGCGCTCCTTTCTTAATTTAGATTTGGCAAGTGATGGATCCACCACGCCAGCTAATCGATCTGGGTGGTTTGAAAAAGAAGTTAATGAGAGCCACAGCGCTGCCAATTCGTTAGGGCTCACGTGGGGCTGGGAAGGATTGGGGCGCTTTGGTTTAAGAGGCTTCCTTTTAAAAAAGGAAGAGGAATGACATGGTGTTTGTTTTAGACCAAAATGAGAAGGTGCAGTGCAGGCTGAGATACTTCCAGCTGCCCTGGGGGTTGGCAGTTTCCCAAGAGGATGCAGCATCCAGGCAGGGGGTGCTCCGGACCGATGAAGGCACGCTCTGGGTCACCTGCAGCAGCTTTTGACATTGCTGGGTCAGGAGTAGACAGACCGGCAGCCAGCCCTGGGCAGCTCATGAACGCAGGGCCTATTGCGCAGGGTCTCTCACCGCCAAGCAACAGTGGAGCAGGTAACAGAAGCCTAGAAAATGGGGTTGGAAGGGACCTTGGGAGGTAACAACTAGTCCAACCCCCTGCTCCAAGCAGGACCAGCCCCAACTACATCATCCCAGCCAAGGCTTTGTCTAGCTGGGGTTTAAAAACCTCCAAGGATGGAGACTGCACCATTTCCCTGGGGAACCCGTTCCAGTGCTTTACTACCCTCCAAGTGAGAGAGTTTTTCCTAATATCCAACCTCAACCTCTCATGCTGCAGCTTGAGCCCATTGCTCCTTGTCCTGTCATCTGCCCCACTGAGAACAGCCCAGCTCCATCCTCTTTGAACCCCCCTGCAGGGAGGTGAAGGCTGCTATTCAATCCCACCTTGGTCTTCTCTTCTCCAGACTCAATCAGCTGAGTTCCCTCGGCCTCTCCTCAAGTCCTGCCTGAGCTGCCAGACCACATTCCTTATAGCTCTCGTCCTTTAAGACACAGTTCCCTGGGACGGCTGCAGCCAGACAATGGCTGTGCAGCACTTTCACTGATTCCACCAGTGGCAGCACGGCTCCATCCAGGGCCAAAGACATGCGTGGTGCTGGTGTGCTTGGACTTCTCTGCCTGCCCCTTTGGGGGGTAAGTATACAGAGGGGTCCCAGCCCTGAGCACGTGCTCCCTCACTGAGCTAGCCTGGTGGCTGGCAGGAGTCAAGGAGAGGATAAGGCCGCAGCACACTGCACCATGCTCTTGGGTCCGGCGTGCATTGTTCAGCAAGGTGGGTTGCGTGCATGCTGCCATGATGGGATGCACACGTGGGCTGGGCTGCTGCCTCCCTGCCTCGTGCTCTAGAGAAGAGTGGCTGCTGGCTGAAGGGTGCTCCATGTACCCTCTGCCAGCCTAGGCTGAAGGCCCGGGGCTTTTGGAGGGGGTTGCGGTGCAGCTGCCCCAGGAGTCCTTCGGAGAAGTCCTCAAACGGGTGAACGGCAAAGGAGGCGCTGCGGTTCTTCAGCTGTCCTGGGCTCTGGAAAACAAATCGCTCAGCCGGCAGTACCTGGGGACATGCTCTTGTTCCCTACAATGCCACCAATTCGAGCAGGAAAGCCAAGGAAGAACCCACGTGGTTGGAGGAGCCGTGGGGGGGGGCCGTGCCCTGAATCTGTGTTTCTGTCTCACAGAGCCGTTGCTTTGCAAATGATCTGCGGACACAACAGCGAGTGAACATGCCACAGAGCGGCCAGGCCAAGTTGAACAAGCACCGTGGTAAAGACTCTCACCAAGCCACGACCAGCAAAAGAGGCTGATGCCCCAGGGGCGCATGGCAGCACACGCCAGGCAGGCACAGCGGTTGTGGCTCTGGATCGGACAGATCCTGGGCTGACCTCCACCAGCTTCCAGAGCGCCTTTGGGACAGTGCTTAACAACGTGCCTGTTTCCCTGTCTGAGGACAGAGAGAGCCCCCTGACTCCTGGAAGCACAACACCAACTGAATCAAACACATCTGGTTCAAGCCCTGGAGAAAGGCTGTCAAGTACCAAGGAGCTCAGAAGCCAAATAAAACAAAGCTGGAGACCAATCCAGGCAGGGATTATTAGATTATGCAGACTGCCGCTGCGTGGGATACAGGCACACCCAGCATCCCGACACATGTGGACCCACGCAACAGCACTTCTGGCTGCTACTGGGGTGTGGGGCTGGGCTGACGGTCACCACCCTGAGGCTCAGTCCTCTCTCCAAACAACAGGCACAACCTGGACAGTCCCTGAATTATTATTCATCAGCTCCTGCTGGCATGAAGGCACATTGGGCCGCTGCTGGACTCCAGCCATCCTAACTTCATGGCAGATCAGGGATGCTTCCTCCTGAACAGGCCTGCCCTCAGCCTGGGCTGCTGCCTTCGGCGCTGTGCTTTCACTCCTGCTCACCCCATACAGCGCTGGGAGAGGAGCCGCAGCCTGCCCTGCCTGGTGGATCACCCCACAGTCGGCACGTCCCAGGGACAAAAAGGGTGCATGCACCAGTGTGACCCTCAGTCCCAGGCGAGCGTGTACATAGTCCCCCAACCTCTTCCTCTTCAGCTGCGCAGACCTGTGCCCAAGCCAAAGATACAAACCAGCCCTTTTCGTGCCTTTTCCAGAGCAGAACCTCGCCCTACGGGCCCGATACTCAGCAGCACCTCTGGAAGGCCGGCAAGGGCCGAGAGAAGACCGAGCCTGGAAAACCTTGGGCCTAAAACATTTTAAGGCCCTCTCTGCTGTGAGAAGACTCATGCAGGCACCCAGCCCAGCTCCCGCACCTCTGACCCACCCCGAGCAGACCCCGCAGCTTTGCTGGCTGCTTTGATCCTTTGTTTCCTTGTTTAACGGACGATACAAAGAAGAAATCTAATTGAATATCGGGCCTCGGCGGCACATATAAAACGCAGGCGTGCAGGGGAAGTGGGGCTGCTCTCTGGCGGGATGGATGGCAGGTCTCCAGCGCGTTCAAAACCCACCGGAAGCCCTGTGCGAGCCGCCCGCCCCGAACTCCAACAAATTGTTTATTGCACAACATGGGAAAAATGCTGCCCTGCTCCCCTGACCAAGTCTTTCCATGTGTGCTGCCCACGCGGGCTCCCTCCTTGCCCCCCCGGGGGGCTCGCTTTATACTCCGGGAAAGGTAACAGGGGCGATTATTACACACACTATCCCACAGCTCCTCGCTCGTTAAAAAAAACAAGAGTCTCTTTTGTGCCCGAAATAAAAGGAGATACCTTAATTAGAACAATGCAGATTGGTGCGCGCTCAATGCCGGGCCCAGCTGCTGCGTGCCATTAAATTCATAAAAAGCGGGGGAAGGGGCGAGGCGGAGGGGAGGGCAGCCTTAACGAGATTACACACATTGACTTTGATCAAGACACAAAAGCACCAAGGCGTTCCAGGGTTTTTATTGCTGTCTTCGGGCTACGTTTTAATGGTTACATTAGAAACATGCGAGCCCAGGCCGGGGGATTTTGCGCAGAAGCATGCCTCGTGAAAGGCCTGCTTTAATAAATTGCGGGCTGTGGGGAGAGGGGAGGGCTGGGGAACAGATGAGTGGCTGCTTATTAATTGCTTCCCCTACACAAGTGCCAAGTGCCTCCTACCCCATCCTGCTGGCCCTGTCCCCATCCCCTCACGCCTGCCCAGGCAGCGGAAGAGCCGAGGGGCCAGTGCGGACCCTAGCTGGACAGTGAGAGCAGCCCCATGTGCTGCTTTCCTGGTGGGGGTGGGAAGCCAAGGGGAACTCCTTGCTGCCTGGAGGGGTTCAGCCTCGTGATGATGGGAAATGCAACAAAGGGATCTGAAGGCAGCTGGGATGGTGGACATGAGCATCAGAAGGGCTTGTGACTGGTCAGCTAAGGGGGAAGGGAGGAGAAGGGGACCCCACACATGACAGCAACGCTCAGCTGCCAGCTCACAGCCCCTCCTGAACCGGGCGATCCCTGGCGCACGAAGGCAGCGGTGCCTGCGTTCGCTGGGGCACCTTCCTGCTACGACAGCTGCTGATGGGGTATGAAAGCCTGTACGACCAACTGGTGACAGGAATAGGAACAGCTGCGTAACACTGCCCAGGGCAGAGCCAGGTTATGGAGGTTGCTACGGATACCCGATGTTGCTGGGGCTTCACTGTCCTGCCAGCTTTGGCAGGCAAGGTTTTTAAGCAGCGGTGTTAAAGGAGATACTGCCCAATGGTCGGATCGTAAGGACAACAGGATTTTGCTGTGCCCAGCAGCAACTGCTTTGAAAGGCGTGACATCCCTCCATGCGGCCTGCAATCTATCATGGGAATATCCCACCAAGGCAGGAGAGTCAGGGCAAAATGGACCAGCTCTGATTTCCACTGCTCCAGCTGAGGAGAGAGTCAGGCCGGCAGTGATTGGGACACCTCCAAATAAACTCTGAGTCTGGGGTGTGCAAGGCCACCCCTTCCATCCAGTCCAAAACAAAACGGGAAGCACTGCCGCATGCCCTGATGCTGTTTCCACCCCTCTAGAAACAAAAGCCACCTCCAGCACTCTCAGCTACGTTCACTTCCCCCTGAGCTTCCTGGGAAGCTCCGCTCAGCGCGTTTCAGTGGAGGTCCAATGCTGTGGCAGCCCTGCGTGAGGAATTCCTCCGGCAGGCCAGCATGTTCCACGCCTGGGGCCCCTCTAGCACACAGCCCTGAAGCCAACAATAGCCATGGTCTGGTGCCTGGCTGCTCTAGCAATGGCACCTCGCACCTGACTCCAGGCAGGGGGACCCAGATGGGGCTGGAACATGAGAGGGGCACTTGGCTGCAAGTGCTGGGAGCCTCCCGAGCCAGAACCATGCTCAGATCACGTGGTGCAAAACAGCAGCCCCCTGCTCCCACGGTAATTTGAAGCAGAGCACATGTCTGGGGAGTGAGAGAAGTCTACGAATCAACAAGAAAGTAGTCGAGTGCCTCACCAGAGTCCGCAGCCAGCATTCTTCGCAGTGCACGTGCCAGCACTGGATGGAAGTCAAGGGCATTGTGTACGAGTCCTGTGGAGAGAAGCAGAGACATTACCGCCACTGCGAAGGCCGGGCCGTTCCTCCCCTATGGTTCTATCCCCTGGGTCTCATCTCCGGGGCACTCGCCTTCTTAGAGCCTGGCGAAAGGGTGCACGCCAGAGACCCCCCACCCCCGCCTTCCACCTCTGGAACAAGGAAGCATCAGGACAAGGGAGGACAGAAATCCTAGGGTCTTTGCACAAGCTCCCAGCAGCTTCCAGATGGAGGGAAAATGGAGCAAGATGTAATAGGGGGAAGCCTCCTTGGCTCACTTCTCTGCCTCTCAAAAAGAGTGTGAGGGAGACTCGTGATCCACTCAAGGGGGACACAGCTCAGCCTGGTTATCTGGAGAGGGAAATGCAGGAACTACTGCAGCCATGTGGCACTGATCCCAAAGGGACGGTCCTGTGACCATACAAGACCAGGGACTGGGGTGAGGTTAACTCTAATCCCAGCTATCTGCTCTGCTGGAGCGACTTCCCCGCCAGCATTCCCTCTAAGCTGCACGGCGTGCGTGGCTGCGCAGGCGTGCTCATGCTGCGCTGCTAGGCATGCCTGTGTGGCTGCACATGCCACGCAGGTTCAAGGAAACATTGCTACGGCCAGTGCGCGTTCCCCCTCCTGCCTTGACAAACAGTCCTGGCAAGTGACAGCGTGCCTTGGGAGACCTGCTCATCTGCTGCCAGCCGAGAGTGCACAGGGCTGCCCTGCATAAGCTCTTAACCTTCCTTCTGCTGACACAAGGAGCTTGGAGAAGCAGCCTTGTGAAGAGGGACAGCTGCAGGTGCTGTGCCATTAGAGGGAGCTGCAGGCCTTCTTTAGGGAAGTCATAACACGGCCACACATGGAAGCATGAGGATGCAGGCAACTTCTGAACACTTGGGCACAGTCCTACCTCCAAACTGGGGCTGCTCTCCCAAAGGGCGGGCAAGCCCACAGACTGGACATCGGGGAGCCTTGCACAGCTAGGCTGAGAGGAGAGGCCAAGGTCTTATGGCCCCTAGGATGCGTGGGGATGACCTGAGCTACCATGTGTGCAGCAAAAGGGAAGCTGTGGGCTGAGAAACTTGTCATCCATGTACTCAGAGGGGGGGGTGAGGGGCTCTGCCTTGGGCAGGCACAGGGGTGTGCTCCCCTTCCAGGAGACGAGTACGATTCTCCCCACCTCAACAGACACTGGGCCTCGGGACCAAGACATTTTCTGATTCATTACCACAACTGGAGTGCTACTCACCATGCAAATGAGACATTTATAGCGGTCCCCACGGGAAAGCTGCCTTTCTAACTCACGGACACGAGCCTTTAACGCTTCGAACGTTGTCACTGCTGAGTCTTCCGTAATTCTGCAAAAGATGACAGGAGTCAGGGCGGGTGGGCCGTCAGGGCTTGGGGAAAGGAGAAGTTAAATTTACGGCCCTCGAGGTGGGTGCAGAGGAGGATGGGAGAAGGCTGGGAGGAAAGGAGCTTGGCATGTGAGGGTGAAGGAGGAGCCTGGTTTCCACCGCGCCAAATAGGAGTCCTACCGAAGCCAGGCTGTAAAGCTTCAGCTAGGACCTGTGAGCAAAGGATGGTGGGTGGTTAATACTGGCTGGAGCAGGCTGCAGCCAGAGGGTGGCATGGTCTGCATGGGTGGGCGGTCACCTCCATTCACCCTCTTCTGTCTGATCATCCTAAGGCTTTCCTATGTCAATGCAATTCCCTCCCCATTGCAAATGAGCATATGCAGCTCTGAGCCTTCCTCTAGTACAGGCAAGGCATGAACACAGAGGAAACAGGGAGATGCAGATACCGCACACCACAGCGAGCAATAAAAACAGCTTATCCCCCCTTGCCTGTGTGCCTGGGGTCACATTTGATGGGCAGCATTATCTCGCATGTCACGTGGATACCGGGATGAGCATGACAGCCATTCTGCAAGCCTGAAGGAGAGGCTTTTGGCCCCTAAAAAATCAGGGGCACCCAGAGACAGCCAGGCTGGGAAACGGGGATGCTGGAGAAGAGTGGTGGAGAAGGCTGCGCCATGGTGACTCAGGCCAGAGACAAGCAGGGCTTTTCCCCTGATGCTCTCTGGGGAAACTTTGACAGTGGGGCTGGGAAAAAGACTTAGTTTGCAGGTGACAGTGGTTTTGGTGAAGCCCAGATCAAATGTGACAGTCAGAAGAATGACTGCCTCCTAATGTCTGAGTTGTTATACGTAGTGCCGTTACAGCTAGGAGCCCTGGTCAGGGTCCCACAGGCCTAGCTGCATGCAGGGGGTCACAGAAACCAGCAAACAGCATATCAGCAGGCGGATACAAGGGACCAGAATGCATAATGGCTGGGTCGAAGGGCTGCACGTGTGCCCCGTATGTAACCATCCTTAGCTGTAAGACACGGCACAGAGCAGTCTGGAAGCTAGCCACGGGGGACTGTTGTGCTGGCTCTTCTCAAGGCAGATGGGAACTTTGCTGTGGCTTCTCCTGCTGCTGCGCTGCCTGGGCGCGGCAGCCAGGATGAAACCCCCCGGTTTGGTAAGCAAAGTGAGCAGCTCTGCGACGCACTGGAAAGACTCTGGCAGGGGCAGAGGACAAATGCAGACCTTGAGGGCAGCAGAGCTTCACGAACAAGTGGCACAGACCTTCCTGCTGAAATGACCTGCCTGGTCCTCAGCAAGCAGGCAGGGCATGTTCAAAATCCTTTGCATTGGTTGAGCTGTGTTGGTTGCAGCCGTATTGGTCTAAGGACATCGGCAGACAAGGTTATTTGGGTAAATCCGATATCTTTTATTAGACCAACTAAAATTTTAGTTGGTCTAATAAAAGATATCGGATTTACCCTAACAGCCTTTTCTGCTTTGGCACTGGTTGGGGATTTTTAGAGGAACGGTTTTGCTAGAAAATGCTGATTCACCAGAAGGGAGAGTTGTTTTTGCTGCATCCCTCCCATTTCAGTGAGATGTCCCAGCCCGGGTGTTCGGCTGCTTGTTTGGCAGATGTGCAGCAGAGACGGGTATGGGTCCCCGCTGCAGCGAAGAGCTGCATGAGGTGGAACGGCTGCACAATCCCCCTCCACCCCTTGCCGATGCTGCTCCTCTCTGCACAAACAGCTACTGCAACCGGGGCTGGAACGAACCCGGGGCTCCCACGGTGCTTGGGGGTGGCGATCGCACAAAGGAGCTGTCAAACCTTGGTCCTGTCTGGATGGGACCTGGCAACTCTTCTAGAAATTGAAAAGAGTTTTGCTCCCTTTGCCCCTGGAGTGCTGCTGCCCTGAAACTTGTGCACTGGCAGCGAGGTGACTGCTCTCTGCTATCCGGAGAGGGGCAGGAAGAGATCCACGGGGACCAGAGAGCTCTGAAATGAGCCGAGTTCCCCCTCAGCAGAAGCAGCTGATGAGCAAATTGCCAACAGCAGCTGAATTGGCCTGTGGGGAGGCACGGCTCCTCTCAACGCCCTGAGTGATGAGCCTCTCAGGTGGGATGCAGGGAAGGCATCTGTTCCTGCCCCGCAACGGCCAGGGAAACTCTCTGCCGCTGCAATGGGAGGCGATAGCAAATGGCTTGTTCATAGGAGTCGGAGCAGCTGACCCCATCGGCTGTTTTCGGAAAGCCTCCGAGAGAATCGTGCCTGTCCAGTATTAAATGAATGAATCAGAAAAAGGAGGCTGAATAGAGGCATAAGCAATAATGCTCAGAGCCTGCCTGATACAATGGCCAATCAATAGGAGGGCTGTAGATCAGGGTGCTAGTTAGCTGGAAAATTACCGCACCGCTGCATGCGTCACGCTGTAGGGATCCTGCACAATCAATGCGGGAGGTATCGATTTAGTTATTATCACTTCATACGCTCCAGACATTGTTAAATATACATTTATTAACAAGGCTGGGGGGCATTCACAGGAGAGGGAGTTTTAGCCAGTGCAACCTCTCCTTGCTCAGCTGCTGCAGTCGCCTTTAAAGCCTGCATTCCTCCCTGCCAGGTGCCCTCTCAACGAGCCCTGATGATGGATCGAGGATGGGGCTCTGCTCCTCTCTCCTGGGCAGAGATGGGCATGGTTCTGGCCACCTGCACATCTCATGGGCAAGATTTTGGGAAAGCCTTTGAGAGCAGCAGATACAACAGGTACAAAACTCCAGGTGATATCAAAAGGGAGAAGCAGCCACGCTGTGGCTTCTAAAAGAGGTGGAGGAAACGGGGTCAAGGGAAATAGGGAAAACATCAGCCACTACAGGAAGCTGGACCAACCTCCAGGGAGGGAATAAAGACAAGAGTCACTTCCCATGTGCCTGGCTCAGAGCTCATCCCACAAACACCGCTTGACAGGACTCTTCCTGTGCTGGGCAAGCACGGAGCTCACCCCCATGCATGCTCACACTTGTGTGCCTGGGGAAGACGGGGTGTGACGCGGGCCAACACTGCATGCTTTGACACCATCATGAGCACCACTGGGCGCGGAGGGCAGGAGCTGGCAGCAGACGGTGCTTGGAACGGGGTCCAGGCTCTGGGGCCAGGCCCAGCTCTTCCGCTGCCCTGCTCTGGCACCTCGGCCAGGTCCGGTCGGAGCCAGGGTGTATGGGTGTGGACCATAGTGTTCCCTGACATGCGTAACGAGCACTGAGAGCCAGGACACACTAATGCCAGTACAGAGATCGGGGGCAGCTATCTTGCAGAGCTGCTGGGATGCCTGGACCCCAAAGGCCTGACTTTTCACCCGTCCTTGTGCTACAGCGCAGGTTGCTCTCCCAGTAAACACTTCTCCCAGGTGCCTCTTCCAGGGGTGGATTTTCATCACACGCTCTCCACTTTCCCCCCCAGAACGGACATGCACCATGGAGGGGATTTGCTCTGTTACAAGAGGCAGGCTCCCATGCCCAGAAACCCCAACTGTGGGCACTGCCTTGTGGATGGACAGCCACAGTGATGCGGGCAAGGGGAAAGAGTCACCAGGGCCCAGCTTTGAGGATGAATCTTTGAGTTACCCCCTTTGTTGTCTGCTTGCTGGGTTTTGTGGTCAACCAGACGGTAATGCAGCAGAGGTTTCTGTGCCGGCTTCACGCCAGGAGACAGATTTATGGAACTGGGCAGAAGGCGAGGAAGAGCATCAGCAAACCCTTTCCCGCAGCTTGCTCTAAGCTGTTGCCTCTCTTCTCTCTGCCCCACGGCTGTTTAATAAACCCCAAACCTGCCCACTCCTTCTCTGTTCCAGTCCTGGGAAAAGAGAGACAAAGAAGCCACCCAGAAGACAATAATCTCCATGTAAGCTCCTTCCATGGGCTGGGAGAGTCTCCTGGGGGAGGCAGCTGGCCTCCCCATAAGACAAGCAAGCCGGGTTATTTGTCAAGCATTAGCATGCCTGCGATCTTTGTTTCTCCAAATTAAATCGAGCGATTGCCACCCGCCGTCCCCGGGGGCAATCACAAGCAACTCCGTTAATTAAATTATCTCTGATTCCGCAGCTCTGGAATTTCTCAATTGACCGAAGATTGTGCTTTATCAACAAAATACTTGACCAGAGAGGGGGGGGGAAAATGCTGATGCTGGAGCAGCCAACTTCACCCCAGATGACAGCCGAGTGCCCTTCTGGAGAGAAGCCACCAGCCAATATGGGCTAAGGAGTCAGAGCTGTGCGGAAAACCTTTCTACCTGCGGTACTCAGCCGCCGCAGCGCTCCTGCGGGGACTCGCTCCAGGCCACTCGTACACCATAAAACAAGAGCATTACTACATTTAACTCCCTGCCCCTGCGCAAGCCCGAGGGTGCCGCAGCTCCACAGCCTCCGCGACGGGAAAGCGTCTCGAAGCTGTCAGCCAGGACCTGCCTCCGGGGGGTTTTGCTCAAGGAGCTCGGCTGTCAAGTGCTCTCCATAAAACATCCCTCCGGTTTGTTTATTTCGACCGGGTATAAATTTTCCCTTCTTCATAAATGGCCGCACTGTACATAACATTCCATAAATTTTAACTGCGCCGCTGTTTGTATGTACCTTGTAAAAAACGTTTAGCGCTGATTAAATGCACCGCCCGTAAAATTTCATGGGCTACTTTTGACACTTGATATCCCGACCTTCCACTCTTTCCCCCCCCACGATACATTTATTTTTGTTTCCATATGCCTGTAAATGTGGTGGTTGGCAGGAGAATACGCTGCGCTCCTGCCACACTTGGGCACAGGGGTGGCCAAACTGTGGCACATGGCCTATGAGTGTGGCATGCAGCAGGTAGGGAGGGAACGGAGAAGTGGACCAGGTAGGGAGCACAGAACAGGGAGCAGAAAGCAGAGCGGCAGACTGGGCAGGGGAAGGGGATCGGAGTGGCACTCCGGGTGGGTGGTGTTGCAGTTCCCTGACTTTTGGATGAGTTTGCACCTCG